CTGTCATTTCCGCTTTTTTTTTCGCTTTCTTTCACACCAGCCATAAAACACACGAAAAAAGGGCCGCTAGGGGAATTGAACCCCTGACCTCCCGCACCCGAAGCGGGAATCATACCACTAGACTAAGCGGCCACGGAACACCGGCGTTCGGCTTCCAGGACACACTCCGGATACTAGCTGCACACGGTGCGGTTTCGCGCGCCGCACCATTGGCCGCTTAGCACAGTGGCAGTGCACCACTCTCGTAAAGTGGGGGTCGCGAGTTCGATTCTCGCAGTGGCCTACCCTTTTTTTGCAGCTCTTTTTTTGCCCACTTGTGAACAGCGACGCTCGGCTGTGCGACGCAGACCTTCTGTAGCTCAATTGGTAGAGCATGTGACTGTAGAGTTCGCAGGTATCACAGGGTCGCTGGTTCGATTCCGGCCGGAAGGACACTCTTTTTCTCTTCTTTTTCGCGTTGTCGTTTCCCTCCTTTTTTGGTGCTCTCTCTCTCTTTTTTAAGGGCCGGGTTTCATGTGTCCTCCCTGGCGCAGTCGGCAGCGCGTTAGGCTGTTAACCTACAGGTCGTTGGTTCGAATCCAACGGGAGGAGTTTTTTTTTTTTTTTGTGTGTGTGCAGGCGCGGGGAAGGGGCAAAAAAAACAAACACGGTGGATTGGTGTTGTTGTGATGGTGCATCTCTCGCCGCCGCTTTTCCTTCGGTCGGTTTCACGTGTGTCTGTGCTTTTCTTTTTTTTTTAAACCAAAACAGGCTACAAGGAGGAGGAGGTGATGCTCTCTCTTTCATCGTGTGACGAGGCGGGTGCCGGGCGGCTGCGGCGGCGGGGCGACCTTGCCGCTGGAGAAGAGGGCGTGGATGCGCTGGTGCTTCTGAAGGTCCTTCTCCGACAGCGACGGGCGCGTCGTCTCCACCGCCGCCCACAGGTCGTCCAGCGACAGGCGCAGCGCCGCGAGCGCCGCCCTGTTGGATGCCGCTGTCGGCGCCACGCCACTGCCACCATCAGCACCCGCGGCGGTGGCGGCGTGGCACAGCGGCTTCAGCGCGTCGCCGACCTTCTCGCGCGTTGCGCCGCCGCCGAGGCCGGCGATGACGAAGCCGGCGTCCTCGGCGTCCCCGCTGCCGCTCGCGGCCCGCGCCGCCAGGCCGTCCATGAAGCGCATGTTCACCAGCGTGTTCGCCGACGACACCATCGCGGAGAGGTCGGCCGGCGTCCAGTTCACCGTGCGCTGCGCCACCTGTCGCAGCTCCGCATCGCCGAGGTCGGCCCCCGCCGCGTTGCTCAGGAGGCTGCGCAGGATCGCGAGCCGGTCCTCCTCGCTCGGCACCGGGCACACCACCGCCTTGTCCAGCCGGCCAGGCCGCAGCAGCGCCGCGTCGATCAAGTCCGGCCGGCTCGACGCCGCGACGACAAAGACGTCCTTCCGCCCCTCGACGCCGTCGAGGTAGCACAGCAACTGGTTCACGACGCGGTCCGCCACGCCGGAGTTGTCGGCGCCGCGCTGCGGCGCCACCGAGTCGAACTCGTCAAAGAACACCACGCACGGCGCCGCCGCCTGCGCGCGCTCGAAGACGTCGCGGATCTTCTGCTCGCTCTGCCCAATGTACTTGCCGAACACCTCAGGCCCGTTCACGACGATGCAGTGCAGATTCTCCGCATTCACGAGCGACTCGAGAATGAACGACTTCCCGCAGCCCGACGGGCCGTAGAGCAGGATGCCGCTGCGCGTCTTGAGCGGCAGCCGCGCGAACAGCTGGGGGTGCTTGATCGGCAGCACCAACGTGTTGTACAGCGTCTTCTTCGCCTCCGCGAGCCCGCCAATCGACTCCCACGACACCTTCTCCCCCTTGAGGAAGTTCGTGCCGGTGTGCGCCAGCGGGGTGAAGGACGCCGCGCACGCCTCGGCGCACGCGCGCAGCGACAGCCCCCCCGCCGCCACCGCCGCCGCCGCCGCCATCTTCGCCCCCATCCGCAAGGCCAGCTGCCTCGTATCGAAGGGCGTGTAGTTGTCCATCAGCGCCGCCGCCGCCGCCACGTCGCCGCTCGCCGCGCCGGGAAACAGCTGCGCGACCAGCACCGTCCGCGACGCGCGCGTCAGCGCCTCCAGCGTCAGCACCTGCCGGAAGCAGTACGCCGACCGCAGCGTCTCGTGCACCGCGTCGCGACTGCCGCACGTCGCCACCACCACCACCGCCCCGCGCCGGCGCACCGAGAACTGGCAGCAGAAGCGCGTCAGCGTCGCCTCCAGCGTCGCCTGCGTCATGGCCGACACCGCCGCCGCATTCCCCTCCTGCTGCGCCGGCGCGATGCTGTCGAAGTTCTCCAGCACCAGCACCGCCGGCTTGCACAGCACGCACTCCGTCAAGGCTCGGGCGATGTCGGCCGCGAAGGACTTGGTCTTGCCACACTCGAGCGTCACGACATGCACGCCTGGCAGCGTGTCCAGCACCGCCCGCACCACCGTCGACTTGCCAAAGCCCCGCCCCCCACACACCAGCACGTTGCTCTGGTGCAGGTTCGCAAACCGCGGCACACGCGACTGGCGCAGCCCCGCGATCACGTGCCGCCGCAGCTCCCCCACCACGCGCCCATGCACCGCCACCGCTTCCGCTAGCGTCACCGCCGTCGCCGCCGCCGCCGTCGACGTCGACGTCGACGGGCCCGAGCCCACCACGGCCGCGGCGGAGTCCACGCCGTACGGGGTGAGCAGCAGGTTCGTCGCCTGCGTCAGCGAGGCTAGCACACACACGTCTCCGTCCTCCTCTTCCGCCTCCGCCTCCGCCTCCGCCTCTGCCTCCCCGTCCACGACGTGCACGGTAACCCGCTTCAGGTGGGTGCGCAGGAACCCAGGCGTCAGGTCCTCCTTGTCCAGCGTCGCCACCGTGGCGCAGTCGAGAGCGCCAAGCACGGTGCCATGCTTCCAGTGGTACCGCGCCGCCATCGCGCCACCCACCCGCACCGTGTCGTCATCGCCAGCAACTGCTTCGGCCCCCGCCACGGCGCGCGCCGGCCGCCCACGCACAAACGCCCAGAGCGGCGCATCCGCCGCCGCCGCCGTTGCGTCCGCCGCCTGCTCGCGTCGCACACGCGTGGCGATGACAAAGTGCGTGCCCTCGTGCATCGTCGCGCACCCATCGAGCAGCTTCTTCTCCTCCTCCCCATCCCCGCACTGGATCTCCGTCACGATGACCTTGGCCGACACCCCGGCAAAGATGGCGACGGAGATGACCATGGACGAAAAGACAACCTGCACCTGGCGCAGCAGCAGACTCTCGATACGGAGGGCGTTCTGCTCCACGACCTCGCTGTCATCCACCGTCAGCGGCGCCACGAGCACCTTCGTCGCGCGCGGAGCGTTTAACAGCGGCACGCACTGCACCAGCTCGCCCTCCCGCAACCCTTGATCGTGGCAGAGCGCGTGGGGGAGGAGAAGCACGAACTTGGAGCGCGTGTGGGGGCGCTCGGTGAGGCACCCCACGTAGACGTCCCTACCACTCTGCCCTGTCAGGCGCAGCGGCACGACCTGCGGCAGGCGTCCACTGTAGAGGGGCTGCAGCACGCTGTCCAGGTAGTGCTGCGAGACGGCGACGAAGGAGTGCTGGCTGCTCCTGTCCACCGCCACCTCGAGCGACGGTTGCTGCATATCCGCGCTGCCGGAAAAAAAAAAGTGTGATGTCCTGCCTCCTCTCCGTTCCTCTCCCCCCCGCCTCTACCACGACAACAGCGAAAAAAAAAAAAAAAACAATTAGGAAAGCGCCAGCGCAGACCACGCAGAGCCACTGTCTGGGTACTGCACTGAGTGCTTTTGTGTGTGTGTTTGTGTGTGTGCAGTGTTGTGAACCGTTGTCGACACGTCCCGCCCGCTCCAGTCACGCAGCAGCAGCAGCAGCAGCAGCGGCAGGGGGGAAGAGCGACCACCACTTCCTGTGCATGAACGCAAGAGGAGAGAAAAGAGAAGTGGGCAAGATGCAAGAGCGTCACGTCTGTGTCTCTCTGCGTCTCTCTCTCGCTCTCTGTGGGAGTGAAGGCGGCGGCGCGATGTCTGAGAGACGCGGCCAACCTCCCCCCTTCTTTCCTTCCTTCCTTCCCACCCTCCCGGCGTACCGGCGTACCTCGCCTGTTCAGCTGCTCATGCCGCCACACGTTTTTCTTTTCTCTTTGTTTCTTCTTTTTTTTTTTTTTTTTACCGTCCTTCGGTGCAGAAGGCCAGGGCGGTGACAAGAGGGTCAGCGGAGGCCTGCACAGGCAAGTGCACTGACAGACACAGACACACAGACACACAGACACACAGACACAGACACGGGCTGTGACGGCGGCTATTCGCGATGCGCCGGCACGTAGCCGAAGCGCATCTGCCAAAACTCGGCGTCCTCCGTCGTAGTGGCGGGACGCCAGTGCCACCGCACCGTCACCGGCTCGCCGGGGCACAGCGCACGCCGCGTGACGAGATGCACGAACGAGTCTCCAGAGGACTCGGCCCAGCGCACGGGCCGCACGCCGGCACCGTGGCATGCCTCGCCCACGCACACGTACGCGTTCGGCTCGAAGCTGTGGGCGCAGAAGTCGATCAACGGATGCAGGCTCCGCCCCTCCGCGTCGTCCTCCATCGCACGGCTCAGCGCCATCGACAGCGCCCAGGCCGTCGACTTGGCCGCAAAGTGCGGCACGCTCTGCTCGAGGCGACGCTGCAGCTGCTGCAGCCGCACCCACTCCACACGCTGGCTCGCCGACGTGAGCTGCTCCTTCTCGAGGAACGGCGCATTGTCCGCCCCACGCGCCTGCAGCGCGTTTCCGCCGTACATGGCGTCCAGCTGCGTCGCCAGCGCCTCCACGCGGTCGTAGCGCAGCCCCGTCAGCAGCGCGTCCTGGGCCTCCTCCGTGTCGGCGTTGTGCAGGTCGTGCAAGAACTCCAGGTAGGCGCGGTGGGGGCTGTGCGGGTTGTGCAGTTCGCGCGCCACGAGCTGCGCGAGACTCTCGACCGGGCTGTAGCGCCCCACGAACGTGCCTGTGCGCGCTTCTGGGGAGCCGACGCAGAGAGACAGTGGCGCGGGGAGCGAGATGAGTGTGCGACCCGCCTCGACGTGCCGCGTCACCTTCAGCGAGCAGCGGTGGGGGGCGCGGGGGATCTCGCTCG